GTTCAACTAGCGGCCGTCAAGTAATTAAAAAGTCAAATGACGGTTGTTAAAGTTAAGCAGAGTGGCGGCCAGGAGCTCAAGAATTAATTCATTTACGAACTATCTACCAAAAAGTTTTATAATTGATACAGCTTTTCAACCAACTATAGAGCATAAGTGATTAACGTTGATTGTGTTAATTAATTAATTTTTTTTGAACGTTAACACCAAGACGATCTTGCTAGTCGATCATGACTTATGCAAAGATCCGCCTAATTGGATTTGCTTAACGTAAGCAAAATAAAATCAAGCCCTGTGGTTATTGCATTATAGCACAATAATTAATTGGACTGTTCAATCGATAATGGACGCCCACAGGAATATTTCCCGCTAATCAAGCCACTAACTCGGTAAATTTCTAATTCATTACATACTTTTGAGAGTGAATTCATTTTGTCGTTGTTGCGACATTTATCGTTCTAATTTCTGGAAAGCAATCTAATAACGAAAGACCTTAATACCATTCCTATTTGTTCAGTACTAATTTGTTTGGCATTTGTAGATATATCAGGCAAAGCCACGTCTTTCATGTATATGTATTTGATCTCATATTAAGAATGCAATGAGGGCATTATGTTATAAGGCCTTTATAATTACAGACGTTTTAAAACTTTTTATACCCAAGTAGAAATAAAATTAGATTATAGTTATAGACACAAAACTTGTTGTGCGAACGGGTAGAAGAAGTGTTAAATAAAATAATAATATGTCTTTTTTCTCCGTTGAACATAGAATATCCTTTTGAACTGCATACAAATTTTACATGGGACTATTTTTACCCCAAAAAGTTATTCCATACTGTAACATTGACTGGAAGTTAGCAAAATATATAGTCTTTACAGCTTTTTAGATCATGTATTTTCAACGGTATTTTATTATTAAGTTATTTATACGTTGTCCTTAACTCAAGAAATTGTCACTTTTTATCTCAAAGAAATGTACATTTCACGACCTTTAGTAAGTGTATACTTCTCGGTATTTTGATTGCTTTGTTTTAGACAAAGAATATGATCAAACTCGTTTTGTCTTATTTTTTTTCCCGCTTTTCGACCACTAATGTCCTAGTGAAAATGTTGTTTGTTGTCAATAATATTAATGTTAAAATGTCGCTAAAAGTTATAAAAAAACTTTTTGATCATACTAAATTAATTTCAAAATCCAGTTTTATCTTTGACTGTGGATTTATTTCACTTGAAGCATTTTCATGAGAATTAGATGTGAAACTAAAGAACCCTTTTTAAAATTCACGGAGAGTTCGCTCATTGAATCTAGATTTTGGTTTATGGCCGTTGCATCAGTGGCAGTAATTCGTAAGTTTTCCATCTGAAATCTCCGTTCAATTTTGGCAAATATTCGGAGGCGCATTTTCAGTGCATATTAAAACGAAATTATTAAATTATCGGTAAGTTTGCCAGGTCATGACGATATCATCGTTGAATATTTAATAATGTGAAAGCAGCTTATGGGAATGGCTGTGCTTCCATATCGACCGAAACGAAACTATTTAATTTGTTTGAACTGCTGCTTCAGCTATTTTAGTAATAACATTCCTTACATATTTGGAGCAAATACATTTTATTAGGGACAAATTCACGTGTATCTAGAACTTTCAATTATGATGTCAGGACTTTTACCATGTTTACTAAATATCCATGAAATATTAATGTTATTGAGTTATTATTATTATTAATGAGCATTATTAACTCAAAGCCTAAATAAAAACTTTTTGTGTACAGATTTCATGTTTCAGTTTATATTGTCTATTGTAAAGGTGACAAATTATTGTTATATTAAGTTTTATCACCTTTACTGGCTTTTATAAATGGATTATTAACTAATTACCAAGCAAGCTAAAGTCTAATTTGCAGCAGGAAAGCACTTTTAAAGTAAGTAAAAGGAAAGCTAATACTTCTATAACTATTAGAAAATCAATTGTTTGTCTTGCAACTTGTGCTTTTGTGTTTTTGATTTATGCCTGTGAAGCAGATGTTACGGAAGCAGGTACATTTTAAAAATATTTTTAATCCCAATTTGCAACATCTATCGAAAAAATCCTCTTAACGGAGCTACACCCCCATCAACAGGAACCCAGGAGGAGTGTTGTTTTTCTTTTTTCAAATTATTCCTAACTGGTTGGAATCAAATAAGTAATTTTGTCACATTTCACTGAATTTGAACTGTTACATGTTAATGATAGACATTTAATTTGAGCGTTGGAAGTACAAAAACATTTAATTACCTTCTGGGTTTATTTTTGAATCTGTGTTTTCAATCAAATTTTGAAGTTTGGACTATTCTACCAAGAAATGGTCCACAAGCTCCGTTTTTCGATAAAGCGGTTTAAAAAATATCACAGATGTATATTTACTATTTAAAATATTATTTAATTTTTTATTAAGGCAGCTGACGAGTCTAATTTAATGGAATAATTGTACAAACAAATTTCCATTTTTCAAAAAATTTACAGTTTGTTTTATAGTTTGACCCCCAAAATTATACGCTTGAAATAAAAAAATTGCAGTTTTATTTTTAGAGCTAAAGTCAACATATGAAATATAATGGAGTGTGAAGAACTGACTTATTTATGTTCGACTGTTCAGGAATAATTTAAAAATACTCAGCTTATGGGTTCCTGTTTAAGGGGCTGTAATTCCGTAGGGTATAATTTTCAATTGTTGTTTATTTGCCACATTGATATTATTTTAGAAAGCAGATTGGAGCATTTCAGTTCTCCCATTTAGAGATTTTTTTCCACCTAGAGAATTTACAAATTTCACTTTGCACAATAAAAGTATCTTTCGATATTTTACGAAAAGTAATCAATACAGGAAAATGAATAAATTCAATCCGAAGTTCAATTAAAAATGAATTTCCGTTATAGCATTTCTAACTATTTCGAAAACCCAATTAAATATTAAACATGAAAGGAATTGAGCAGAACAAATAGAGAACGTATTTATTCACGTAGTTAAACTAAATATCTATTATTCAGAAATACAAACACAGTTACTAAGAATAATACACTAATATGTTTCGGAATGAGAAATATTTCTAATGTGTATTAACGCAACTGTAATTTCAATGTTTGATCAATTTATCAATATAAAATTGGTGGACATGGGTTTGGTTGGGTTGCAGAGGTAAAAATGTCCGGTTAATATCTAAACTCACAAAATATATATTTAAACGTTAAAAAAAGTTAATTTAAACTTTGTTGTGGATAAGAGAGGATTCTTTAATGATGTCATGAAAAGTAAGAAAGAATTATTTTCGGAGTTCTGACCTAATGTGTTCTGACATCAGTATTAATTATTGACAAAGACAATTTGGCAAATCTGTGTTTTTCAGTTATATTAATTTTATTCGCTTTTATTCAAAGCCTTTTTTTAGTTCAGTTCTGTTCCAACGTTTTTTTATTTGTGTGAAAAAGAAAGTTTTCTTACCTACTTTGAGCAACTATAATGTGTTGTTAAACCTTCTCTGAATAACTAATCTGAGCCGATTCTTTAAAATAGTGGTGATGTTAATAAAAATAGTATCTATTTCCTAAACAAAAGGGCAATCGGCATCGTTTTTTTAATATTTGACTATAAAAATTGATGCTTGTTTATAGACTAGATGCTAAATAAAGGGGCATAATTTTATTTTCTTAATATGGTCTTCCATATTATTCAAAAATTAAAAGAATCAGAAAAAAAATGTTTCAAAAGCCATTCAAAATGCTCGCATGTGATAATGTATTTTACATTATATTTAATTAATTCGAGTTAATTCATCGTCTCTCATTTAAAAAATGACACTGAGATGGTTATTGAGGTTTTGAAGAAATTAATGAAAATTAATCGAATGAATTTACAGAACAATAGAAAAACTTCTTTTAATATTTCAAAAACTTAAGGGTGAAACTGTACGATCAATTTACGAGACTAATTGCCTAAATACCTAATAGGTCAATCTCTGGAATAAAGTCGTAACACCGCAAAATTATTATGGTTGAATCTAATATTGATTGTGCAAATGACATGTATTTCCCAACTCGTTGCACTAGACATTGTAACCAAAATACCGAAATCCGATTTTAGTTATTTGCGGACAATCCGTTGATGAACAAATTATTAGGATGGGTAATTGGAAACCCGTTTTATCCGTTTTACTGGTAGGCCTCTATAATTGAATTGTGAATTAAAATATACGTTGGAATGTGCTAGTATCGGATTTAGAGGTGAAAAGTATCAAACGCAGTCGGTTTCCATACGAAATTTAATAAAGTAGATAGGATATATAAACGTGTGTCTGGCAAATTGCAATGAAAAATTGACAAAATGTAAAACAAGTCTTCTCTTGGACTGATTTTATAATTTTATAAATTAATGTAATAGGAAGTGCAATGTTTTACATAAATTGTACTATTTAAAGTTAGCTTTTGTATCGCACCAAATCATCACGTATCTGGCATATAAAATAGCTATCTCGACAGAGACTAAATTAACAGTCGATTTCAAGCACATATTTCGTCCTTTAAATATCCTGTTACCACGCTTGAGATAATTTGCAAGGAAAATGAGTTTGCATGGAGAATCTAAGCCCGCTTTAATTACACCAAATAAATAGTAAGTAGGTGTTTGTTTTGATGCCAAAGGCGAACGTTTCTCGATATACTCTGCATATTTTACTCAGCTTTTAATTTTAAGTAAAATTTAAAAAATTTAACTTAAAACCACTTACTTATATGGTTGGGCACTGAGGTATCAAAATAGATCGACTTGGTTATTAGCTAAATAAAATATAAATACATTTTATGACCAATCAACCATTACGCAGATACTGCGGGGAGAACATAAAACCATGACATTCGTTTTTATGATAATTTATCTGGTAAAAATGGGCTATTACTTGCTGTGCCTCTAACCATTTTATAAAAATTCCGAATGGCCATTTTAATGGAGCTTTTTGTGTTCCAGGAGCGGTGGCGAGCTCGGAACGTGAATATCAGCTTAACGATACCAGTGCAGAGGTAAGTTTTATGCGGCTCTAGAATACGTTTTCATGGCTTTTATTAACATTCCTGCATTTTTATCCCCAATAAATTCTAATGCTTGAGAATGCGGCCTTTACAGAGCTCGCGGTTTATTTTCGGAATTGACAATTTGGCAATTTATCGAATCACTCGTTTCGGTTTTCCGAGCGGTTTTAATCGAACCGGTTTGCAGGAAAATTTGAATTTTTAACTGTTCATTGAAGCGAAATGCAGAAAGTTTATAACATCGATTTTAAATTAGTCGAGTTGCGAAATAACACGATTACACAACAGTTTTAAAACAACTATGGAAAAAGACAAATCCACAGGTGTTTGACTCAAAGGCGATTTCCACAGCGCAACTTATTATTTTTGATAGTTTTAGGCTTCTTTTTTATGGTTGTCTTTTGTTTTATCAATTTCAAGTTTTTGTAAAGAGCTAAATAATATTTCATTGTTCTCAAATCTTGCGTATTATTAAATCTTGAACCTTGAATCATAAAGTTTTGAATTAATTTTATTAGAGTTATTAGCAAATAGTTTTTTTTTGTCGCTCTTTACTTTCTCTCACCTTTAACATGGCGAATCAGCAACATTTTAAAGTAGTTCAATGGCCAATATGAAAAAATGCTTGAACCTGAAAGTTGAAATTTCGATTTGGAAGAACTATTATTCTGTATATTTATGGGAAAACGTGGCTTCAATACAGCATGTTTGTGTGTATAATAATGTAAAACATAAATAAAGTTTACTTTCATTGTGAAGACTCGAAATATTCCCTATCATATACATCAAAAACATGTTAAATTTACGATGTTTTAATATTTAAGTTCAGGATGTCGAACTTGTCTTCAACATTAAGCTACGATAACAAAATGTAAACCTCCCTGTAAATAGTCAAAACTGATGTGGTGAAGTGAAGTCATCAAGTGAAGTGTTATCAAACTTATATAATAAGAGTAGGGAATTAAATTTAGTTGTCACTAAATTTTGAAATTTTTTATTCTTCTCAACAATTTATAAATTCGCTAGTAAAATGATGCTTTCTTTCAATTTGCCATTTAGTTTCACCTGTTTTACCGTTGTTGATTGATGACTAACACAACAATTATTTACGTAATGCAAATTAAAACATCGTTCCTTATAGGTACCAAAATATTGTTGCAAAACTTTTTGCAAACAGCTCAATTGCAAATTTTAGTATTCTAATTATATCTTGTCTTGCTATTGACACTTTTATGTGAAAAACAATGCAAGTATAATTTAACTTAGTATAATTCGATTTATATGCCTAAATTGAAGCGGTTTTATTTAACAAATTCAATGGTGTTAGAATTCTCCATTAGAGAATTGATGAAATAAAGTTCTTTATCTTTCGCCCCAGTGTTACTGAAGCAGGTGCAGTGCAATTAAAATATTTAATCACTCTTTCGAATAGAAGCCAACGAAAATGCAAAACTCAGGTGGAAACAGATTTCAGTTTAAGTTTAATTGGGGGAAGGATTTACATCTGGGAACATATTTGCTGGAAACATATAATTAAACAATTCTACAACAACAAGTATTACAGTTTTTAGAAAGCAATTGCTAAAGGTTTGGCCTGGAGAAGCACAACAATTAAATACTAGGTACAAGTTTTATTTTGCCCTTAAAATCGATTCTTCTACTTCCCTAAATTGCACGGTTGAACTTGGAACAATTCCATATTTAAAAGTTAAATAATTCCACTACCCAGTAATTATTATCTCACATATAAACATTGTTTATACTAACGTGAATGACCCTGATGAGTCATACGCCTCGATATTAAGTTTATTAAAATGGATTTCGACAAATGAAATACCTTGCTAATAAACACACTTTAGTTACTGAGCTACATACATCTTATATGAGAAGAGTTGTTTATACATCTGAGTTTAACTGAGCAACAATCTAATTTTTTCTCTACTTGAAATTAGTTGAATTATTTCGTTTCATAGTGCTCTCTTAATAGGGGCAATTAAAGTTGAAAGTGGTTTTTAAAAGCTAATTATTAACCACTTCCAGTCCCAAATTATGTATTATAAAAACCAATTTTAAGTCTAGCTTAACTAAACTAAACTGCGCGGTAGACGAAAGCGTTTATTTATCAGCGTAACACCGCATTTCCTAAGGACAGTAAAATAACATAATTTTATCATCATTGCTTATAGAATGAGCCCAGCAAAAAGAATTCAGCCTGAAAAAAAGACGGCCCAGGGCAGCAAAAAGTATGAAAAATCGTGGGTCAGCAAACGACTTGGACGCAAAACATATGCAGCAAGAAATATAAAAGCTTTATTCGTAAACTGGGCTTAAAATATGATTGTTAAGCTGTCTTTTGCATTACTCAGGCGAAATCTGTACGCTTGGAAAATACATGTTGGCGGATAAACTGACAACAACTTTGTTAACGTTTGAATATTTTATATTTTTTTATATTTCTGTTACCTGTTGCAAACGATAAGCAATTAAATGTTGATAATGCGCATTTTAAATAAATTCATTCCCGATTACTGTTGAATATCTAACAAATTAAAACGAAACCTGTCTCGGAACAAATAAAAATTAATTTAGAAAGATCTATTATTTTGTAACAAAGATTTGCGCCCCTACGAATGTAACCCGAAAGAAAAGTGTAATTTACAAAAGACAAGACAATTCTAGCGGCAAGTAGTGAAAATTAAATTACAATTAACGTTCATCTTTTGCAAATAGAGAATTTAATATAAACCGTCAGCAAGAAAGAATATTAAGTTTCGTCAGGGTTGGAAACAATAGAAAAATTATGATTATAATTACAATCCTTTAATGCATTTCAACATTTAATTATCCCGTTTGAAACGGAACTGCAGAGAAAAACGCGTTCATAGTAATTAAATCCGTTTATCTTTAATTAGGTTTTTCCCGAAAAGAATCCAGAAACATAAGACTTGAGTCTTGCTATTTCATTAGGTTTCTTCATTTAATGCTTTTGCTCATTTCACTTTTTGCAATTTAAAATATAATGAAATATTTTTACACCATACTACATAGTACAATCTTTATGAAGCTTGTGAAGAATTTATAGTGTTTTTTTCACAACAAAGTTAAATTGACAATAACGTTTTATCAAAAAATTCAAACGTCTAATAATAGTACATGCCGCATCCGGAAAGCTCGTTTGAAGTTAGATTCGTGATTAATAGTGCATTTTTAATTAAATTAAATTTTCCACTGCTTTTATGTTTTTATCTACACGAACAGCAACATGAAACTTTGTTCTATTTTATGGTAACACTTCCTAAGCACCATTGAAATGTTGAATTACAGCCATTAGGCCCGAGGCCCGACATTTTTTATTAAAAAGTTAGCAAACTTGATTAAAGTTTAAGTTAAAGTTAAAATGTATTAAAAATTTGCATTTATTTTTAAATCACCTTGATTACCCGGCGTATCAATCCAATTTAGTGCTACTACCTTAATTAAACGTTCGGGCACTTGCACTTACTTAAAACTTATTATCGGGAAATCAATTTAACGAAAACTAGTTTTAGACTATTGGTTTTGAAACGAGTTTACCGAATAATAAATTAATTAAAAGTGAACGCTTTACTCTGTTTAGAGCCTTACTGCAACAAATCATGCATTGTTCAAAATTGATGTCCATGCCAACATTGCATACATTTTCCATTTGTTCAGTTTGCAAATGGCAATTACATGAAAATACCAACGCTTTCATGAAACTGGCCATTGTAGTTAGCTGACTAAACGACTCATTTTTAATCCGACAGCATGTCGCTCTCAATATGTATATAAGATTTAATTACTCCATTTTATTGCAACAAAACGAAACTGAAATGGATTTCAACGCCCGGCAAAATGGCTAACGGTAATTATTTCCCACCCTGCGTGGTCTTTTGAAAATAATTTTCCTGTAAAAGATCCAATTAATAGGCGTATAAAAGGTACAATGTGTTCCGAACAATTTGCCAGACCTCTTTCATTTTATACAAATGAATATACGCTCCGGTGTGTTATAATATATGAAAAGGTTTTAATTATATTTTTTTAAATTGCATTTCTAATAAAGAATGTTTTTCTGGTGTATGTTCGGTCGATACCTGTGTGATTTCTACACGGGCAAATTGTCAAGTGCATATTTATTTACTTTACTGTTAAAAAATTATACATAAGTATGTTGTAAATACAGACTTAATAATTTAAAATTCGATGAAAATATTGAACCATTCAAATTAAGAACAAAAATTCCATACAAAAATTCCACTGAACTCGGGGTAACATTAGCTTCCAAGAAGTTTGAGTACTAAATATCAAAAACACGTTTACATAGTCCGTAAACTCATTGTGCGGCTATCGCCTTTGTTTTCCATTTGAATCGATAAGCCCGTAGAACTCATTAGCATTACTTATTCATTACTAAACTTCCGACATCGGAAGTTTTAAAATGCGCATGCAATACTATGGGAATAGTGCAAAAGGAACGTGTTAAGGAATAAAACTATTTGCGGGGAATTAAATGCATATCCACTGTACTTTGATCATACTCCAAATTAACGAGAACAGGTTTACAGTAAAATTCGCTTCTAAGTACTTGAATCTTCAGTTCGTTAGAAGCTTGAAACTTCACTCATTTGCAGCGATAAAACGAAAGATAATGAACGACATTTGTTCAGGGTCTAGTTGGAAGCTCGTCGCTTAACAGGAGTGAATTCATTGTGGTAAAAAGAGAAACTGCCCGTTTAATACTAAGCTTAGTTTGGATGTTTTGCTATATTAATTATGAATAAACCGACAATGGTAATGTCATTTGCTAATCCTTACATATACTGGTGATGCAAATGGTCAAAACAAATGCTGACGAAAAATTCAACATAAAATTTTCTTGCTGAGAGCTCTGACAATAATTGATATTTATTATGTTATCTAAGAAAAGTGAAAAGTTTTTCCACTCGCAAACATAACTTTGAATATGATGT